CCCTACAGGCACTGCTCTCTGTCTGTATAATGTGCATTTTTACCTCCAGTTCTCTCTCCTTTTCTCTGAAGTTTTTCAGTTCACAGTGAAATCGGTACATTTCTGGAGGACCAATGGATTTTTCAGTGGCTTCAAGCAACTCAATCTTACTCAGTTTTGCAAATTCTCCAACTCTGTCCTACAAAATAAAAAGTTACAAAAAACCAGTAATAGTTAGAACAGTGCAACACAGTAATACTGGATTTAAATACTGCAACTTACTTTTCATGAACATCACCTGACTTACAGTTCTATGCCAGTGAAGTTAAGCATAGGATGACCATCTCATAGACTAGCAACCAAAGCCTCCTAAATTTTTTTAAGATTTCATACGTGGTTTTCTTGGAGCTGTTCTGGAATGATGGCTGTTCTTGGCTATTTGACAGCTTTTGAGGGTAGCTGTTGAATGGCATGGGTTTGTTCATTATTTTTGAATTGGCTAACGTCCTTCTGAACAAGACAGTTTAGTACAGGCAATTAAAGGTTTTTATTCCACTGTATTCCTAATACTGGTTCTCAGGCTGCTGAGGCTACACTTTCGCAGTATAAATGATATGATTAATTCAGAAGTTAATCAATGCAGAACTTCAGGCTGGCAGCCAAGGGTATCAGGAAGCATTGCTGCTGTCCAAGGCAGAGGAACAGCTCAAAACCAAGACTGGAGTGAAAGGTGTGCTTGCCATTGCCACAGGGGCAGAGAGCAAATAAACCAGAATTTTCAACACAGTAATATTCACTGAACTGACATTTATGTACTAAAGAAAAAAAGCTGTTTTAAATACAAAAGTTATGTTGGCAGAGTATACAGAAAGTTCTACTCTAAACAAATATTGCAAATAAGTAAATGAAAAAAACCCAACAACCTCAGAATATTTGCTTCTGCAAAATTTCACTGTTTTTCAGCATGTCTTCTTGAATGCACGTCTCCTTGAAAAGAACAATAAACCCATGGTTGACTAGGCTCTGATAAGTTTTCCTTTTACTACGATACCTGATGATCTACACCAACTGGAAAGGTCTTAGGAAGGAACCTGTCATAACTTTTTTTTAAGGTGGAATTGCATGGCAAATTAGTTATCTGCACAGAAATCCTAACATGCCTGAGCATGGATTCGGATATGGAAACTGCTTGTAGTATTCCTTTATCTTCTCTCTCCTTGAGGAGCTATTTTCCATCAGGATGATTTTACACTTACATAATTTGATTCTAAATATCTATGCGTCTTATGCTGCTCCTCAAGAAACTGCTGAGCCCCACGTTACCAAAAAGGCTCTAGTAACAGTCTCTGTTGCAACTGTACAGTCACTTAGTAAGACTCCTTTCTGTGTTTCGGAGAAAGTAAACCAGACAACTCTTCCTGTTCACTTACCAAGTACAGGATCCAACCCTGAGGAACTGACTGGATAAAACCAGAGAAAAGTCTGTGCAGGGATTGACTGGGAAAGTCAGGGATGCAGAACTACAGGAACCATTCACGTAAAGGTACAGAGGCCGTGCTAGATCTCAAGACCTTATAAAAATCTCCCTACATATTTGTTGTTAAAGAAAACCCCAAGAACAGCACAGACAGGACAGAGAGATACCACTGCTACTGCTGCTACTCAAACACAAACATGGGGAACACCAGCAGCTTTCCCTTCAACATCAACTGACAGCAGATAAAAAAAAGTCCAATTAGTGAGCCTTAAAGGTCACACAGTTCCTCTTTTCTTTCATCATCACACCAGTATGCCTACCTCATTCCTCTCACTCTTTGTGCTGTCCCATTAAATCACTGAAGTGATACAAAAGCTAAGGAGCAACAAAACCCTCTCAAAACACACCAAACCATTTGCACCCACTGTCTTTCAAAATTCATTCATACCTGAGGAAGAAACTGGCACAAATTGTCCACCTGGATGTTTAAGGCTGCAATCTGCTCTTCTACTGTTTTCAGGGTTGCTGGCTTTCTGTTGATAAACCATGCTGATGTGTTGTTCACCACTTGAATCTCACGTGTGATAATGATATTGTCAGGTGTCTTAGACCTGATGAATAAAAAGGCATGTTTACACTTCTGAGAATGTGCAAAGGTTACCAAGTGTCAAAGTATGTTAGCGTTACGGTACTAAAACTTTAAGACATCTAATATTTAATATAAATTAACTGGACAGTAGCAGCAGATTCACACTTTGTGTTTCAGAAAACAACCAGTACTTCAATGATGAATTAATCTCACAAGGAAAACATCAAGAATATCTGCAAATCTTAACTCAGAAGTTATTTACATAAGTTAAATACTCATGCTGAATGTATAAGCCATTTAAAAGTTGTTATAGGTATGAATAGTTACATAAAAGTGTATTTTTTATATGAAATTTAGTAAATTTTAATTAGTATATAGCAGGTGCATATTAACGCTATGCCTTCAAAGTAAAAAAAAATGCTAGTGTACAGAACTACATCAATAAGCTGTGTATACACATTTCATTTGGGAATAAAAATAGTATCATACAGTATGAAAAATACTAATTTGTTTTAATTTTCTGCTTTTAAAGAACAGCAAGCATGCATCAGTTGTCCATTTAGTTCTCTAGCTTAACACTTACCTTCAAAATTAGGCTGGTTAAGGTGCATCAATAGCAAATGAGCAATGAGATAGTCATAAACTCTCAAAATTTTGGTCACCATTAGTGCCTGTTCAGTCAGCATATTGTTAAAGACGAAGAATAAGGGCTCATAACGGTTTGGAAACAGTGTCCCTCAGGAGACTTAAGCATAAAGTTCAAAGTAGAAGTGAGCAATTCAGCAGCTTCTAAGTGCCATAGGGATACGAGCCTACTTCTTGAAGTCTGTGTGATCATTTCCTCACAAGTATCAACTACCTTATTTTAATATACCAGACTTCTTTCAAAAGACCTACAAAGCCATGCTCCTTTCTTTTATCAAATCAAGGACTTTTTACTACTATAACTCTTGATTTTAGTTACAATACAAGGGCCAAATGCAATCAAGACAGTGAGTGCTTACAGAACTAAAATTTTAAAATTCCTGTCAAAAAGCAGTCTTCTGCATCATTGCTCTCTCACCCTAGATGTTGCATTTAAATATTTTCTACCAATTAGACAAAGGACCGGATTACACTGCAACCACAACAGTAAAAATGCTAAGTCTTCACACACTGCAAGTCTCTCTTCAGATTCCCCAGTAACATCAGGATGTATCTATGTTGAAACAACCACACCATGTACGTGAACGACATCCTACTTCCTGACCCATTGCTTGGCCAGTCTCCAAAAAAGTCTTACTCAATCACTCCCACAAGAATGAAAGTGGACAGGATTTTTTCAAAGACTTGTTCCAGTGTATCTTTTTTCCTGAACACAATTTTCTTCTTATACAATCTGATCCGGGTGGCAAATTGTTAGACAAATTAACTCAGGCTCTGAATCAGTTGATTAGCTCTATGGTCTATTCAGTTCAGGCAAACAGATCAGGTTAAGGCTTATTAAGGCTACCTGTGCTATTGCAGCTCCATGTTAAAATCTCCACAAAAAAGCACCCATTTAAGAACTCTATTAGGATATTCTCTCTTTAGTTGTTAAAAAACAAACAAAAAAAACCCAAAACAAAACCAAAACTTACAGGAAGCATGTAATATTGCCCTGTAACCACAAGTTACTCATGGAATTTTACAGAGTAAATCCAAATGATTTTCAGTTGCTCTGTTTTGCAAAAGCTTACCTAGAAGACTGCATTAGCTGGAATTAGTCAGATCTACTTTTCTTTAGTTTATTATTTGTTTCAGTAGGTGACATTTTCAGTAAGAATGTAGGAGTCCCTCATAGCAGCAGTATCAGTATAAGAAAGTGAAGGCAGAATATTTGGTTTCAAAATTTAGACTTTGTCCTTCTTTTTTCTTTTCTTCTTCAAAAATAATTTCCAACCACTACGTCACGATGGCAGTACTGACTATATCTGAATCATCTCAACCTTTAATGTAATCAAAAGCTAGACACACCATATACATCAATCTTTATCTATTTACTCTTTTTACATGAAGACAAAGTAAAATGCTTCCTAAAGTCAAATCAAGACCAGCCATAACTGCTTATTTCTTATGTGGTAACTATTTAACCTTAACATTTCAAAGTCTGAGTAAAAAAAAAAAAAAAAAAAGAAAAAATAAATCACCAGCTTAAAGACAGACCTCTGTACACCAGATTTTTTTCACAACTTTGTGAATGACTGTGTGAGGAAATAATTAATTAAAAATGTATGAGGAAATACAATTTTACTACTTACAGTTCAATTTCTACTACACCTTTCAAGCAGCCCTGCTTTACAAAGAGGCCAACCTACAAAATTAATTATAGAAATTATGATTGTAAAATAACAGTGTATTAAAATGTTATCTCTTACAAAAATACATATACCAGAGCTGCTGTAATGGCATATTTTATTGAAAACTTACAATTAAAACCTAAAATTTATTTTGGGTGTGTATTAACTAAAAATAAAGGAAGACACTTATCTTCCTTACCAACTAGCAACATTAGAACTTCCTCCCCAGGTTAACAATTTCTGATCAATTTCAACCTCCAAAACTGAACAATTTATAATCAGAAGATCCACAGAGAGGAAGAAGCCCTCATGAATTCAGGGGACAAAGGCAATACAAATGAAAGACATTGCCAAACATCTGTACTAGTAGAACTGCCAATTCTCACAGCATAAAAAATATAAATATGAAAAGCCAATAAAAATAGCAACACACAGTGCTGCCATGCAGTCAATTTCCATATTTACATTTGCTCAAGACTGAGCTGCAACCAGAGAATATGTACAATCTTTTAGGTATCCAGATTCCATGCTCCCAAAATCTACTGAAATATACTCCATCCAACCAGGATATCCAAGAAAACAAGAGCAAAACTTAAAAATTTGGCAATACAAACTTCCTACTGTAATGTCAACACATGATCTCTTGGGAGCAAAAAAAGAAAATAATAGTAGTATAACCCAAAACAATCCAACTTCCATTTAAATCAAAGATCAGTGACTCCATGCTTTTAGATAAATTCTCAGACACATTAAGGACATGGTATTTCTACAGTTTCTATATACTTGGAAATTTAAGTTAGACTTTTTTTTTATTATTTTTATTTCTCCTTTAGTTGGTACTTCTGATCAAATATTATTTATGTACTAGGTGGCATTTTCCTACCCCACTGTGGAGGCTTAGACATCTTGAAATATAAACTCTAGTCTACTCAGGTTCCAGTAGAATTCAGGTGTTTCCATTTCATAAGTCAGAGAAGACAACAAGTAGTTAAGTAAGACAAAATTCCTTTGGCAAAAGCCTTTGTCTCTGGACCAGATTATTCTACAATTTGGACACTTTACTTTTTATAAAAATAAAGCAAATCAAGGAAGACAGTATTTTTCCACCGCTTCAGCTGGGGAAATTTCATTTCTTAATGAAATTCAATTTAAATACGAAAATTACAGAATGTCATAGTTACCTTATCAGCTCGCCCTATGAAAGAAGGTTTTCCAGCCAGTCCCAGGCAGATGGCACAAACAATGCTTGACTTTCCTGTTCCATTAGCACCTACAATCATGTTCAGATTGGGTCCTGGACGTACTTCACAGACATCATATGTTCTGAAAAGCACAATAATTTTTTGAACCTTATAAACATTATCTCACTTTGAAAAAAATTTACTTGCTTAAAAACACTTCATGATTATATTAAATATGACAGATAATTTTACCAAATCTAGACTCAATCCTCCAATACTGTTTTTTAAGAAAATCTCAGAGTGAAATCTAACACTACAATAAAACACTGTGGAATACATTCCTACTAGTCAGAGTACTTACAATAACTTTCTTCAAAACAAATGATTACAAAGAATGAAATCCAGCCACATAATGACAATTTCTATTGACTTTACTAGGACATCATATTATTTTACATATTAAAAAAAAAAAAAAGACAGAAAGAAAATTGAGTGAATTCGGTAAAGTCTGCTTTAATTCCAGCTGCTGATGCACCACAGTCACAGGAGATTCCACTCGTCTAACCCATACAATGTACTTGGGTCTTAAGGTCTGCAAGGATCACATGATCATAGAATGGTTAGAGTTGGAAGGACCCTTCACGATCATCGAGTTCCAACCCCACTGCCATGGGCAGGGACACCTCCCACTAGACCAGGCTGAAAGCCCCATCCAGCCTGGCCTTGAACATTCCAGGGATGGGGCATCCACAGCTTCTCTGGGTAACTCGTTCCAGTGCCTCACCACCCTCAGGATGAAAAACTTCTTCCTAGTATCTATTCTACATCTCCCCTCTTCCAGTTTAAAACTGCTACCCCTTGTCCTGTCACTATACCCCTTGATAAAAGAGTCTCTCCCCACCTTTTCTGTAGGCCCCCATTAAGAACTGAAAGATCGTGATAAGGTCTCCCCAGAGCCTTGCCTTCTCTTCTCCGGGCTAAACAACCCCAACTCTCTCAGCCTGTCCTCACAGAAGACGTGCTCCAGCACTCTGATCATCTTTGAGACCCTCCTCTGGACTCACTCCAGCAGGTCCATGTCCTTCTTATGTTGGGGGTTCCAGAGCTAGATGCAGTACTCCAGGTGGGGTCTCACCAGAGCAGAGTAGAGGGGCAGAATCACCTCCCGTGACCTGCTGGCCACGCTTCGTTTGATGCGGCCCAGGATGCAGTTGGCCTTCTGGGCTGCAAGCGCACATTGCTGGGTCATGTTCAGCTTCTCATCCACCAGTACCCCCAAGTCCTTCTCCTCTGGGCTGCTCTCAATCTATTCTCCACAAACCTGTATTTGTGTTTGGGGTTGCCCTGACCCAGGTGCAGGACCCTGCACTTGGCCTTGTTGAACTGCATGAGGTTGGCTTGGGCCCACCTCTCCAGCCTGTCCAGGTCCCTCTGGGTAGCATCCTTTCCCTTTGTGGAACTCCATACTGATACGTCATGCAGTCGCTTTCTTGAGTGACAAGAGCCAAAAACATTAGCCTGTTATCAGTGGTGTATCCAGCATGCCTACTGCAATAGCAATGGCAGAAAGAGACCAAGCCCTAGCATGCAAATTCAAGACAAACCATTAATGCTGGTATGATCGGTAACATCCCAAATTTATAATGAACTCCACCATTCAACATTCTGTTCCTGCACTATAGCAAACACACAGAGGGGAACTGAGACACTAACACCAAAGAAGAAACAGAAAGCAGTTAATGACAAGCCAATAATGTAATTCATGTATTTCTGGAAGCGAGAGTATTTGAACCCTTCCCGCTGAGGCTTAAACTAGTGTTTGAAGCTTCATTTGACATCCGTAGTGTGACCCATGAACTATGCTACTCAAAACTGTTTCCAAGGCTGAAATGGAGCTATCAGCATACAAGCCATAAGAAAATGGTCTGAAAACTTCTACTACTAACTATAATAGCGCCAAACAGAACGGTATTCCCAACACATAGTAGCTGGAGAAAGCACACGCAAAAGGTAACACCACAGACAATTTACACTAATGGTTCCCAAGGCCTGTCCCTACCACCCTGTGAACATCTCCTGCACTCTGCCCTCCTCCACTGCTTGACGATCACCACACGGGGTGAAAAAAAA